TAGAGTTAACATTTCTAACAAACGTTGCATAAATATTATATCGAATTAGATTTATACCTGTTCTTCAATTGTATGATCACATGTTTCACTTATATCCATGATGAACAAAATTGCAGCACGCAAATGTGCAAGTGCAGTGATTGCTTGCATCTCAATTGTATTACGTTCTTCCAAAGATTGGTCCAAAATACCAGGTGTATCAATAACCTAAAATTACTCAGTTATGATAGTCCAAATATATCTCAGATTACAACTGTAACACATTTTCTTTCAAAACAATACGATTTTTTCTAGTCTTACAAACTTCTATCTTTGAAATTTGAAACTCGTTCAAAAATAATTAGAGACAAATCTTTCGGAAAAACGATCAGTATTAGCACTTGCCTGCCAACGAAGATATTTATAATCAAGATGTCCGACATAAAGAGCTTTAGTGGTAAATGCATAAGGCTGTACTTCAACGTCAGCACGTGTTAACAAATTCATCAATGACGATTTACCGACATTTGGAAAACCACACAATATTAATGTCCTAAAATCCAAGATTAACAATGTAAACTTTTTTTGCACTCCATCGTCGATAATATCTTTTTTTTAATTATAGATTATCGCCAAAAAAAAAAAAAAAAAAAAAAAACTAACTCCCTCGTACCTTGTGTTTGGATCAATTGTTGGCAAACGAGAAAGATGTTGTCGCACCTGTTCCAAATAATCAAAACTTGATTTCTGCCTTTTTAATAGCTTTACCATTCGTCCAAGTGCTGCACGCTTTAACATTTTACAACGATATAACGAGTCGCCATATTTCATTAGACGAACATATTCTCGTGCAATACTGAAACATTTTTCATCTATAATTCATATTTCAGTCATCGTAGATGAGCTCAACTGGAACTTCAACGCGATGATAATAAGAATTGTTAAAAATTACCCATCGATCAAATGACGAGCCATGTTCATTTGTCCTAAAGCAATCTTGTAGTGGTCCTTATCGTATAAAATGTTCATAAGATCGGCATAAAATGGATGAACCTCCTGAAAATATCCCACACTGTTCTGTAAAAATTCGGAAATCGGCATTTTTGTAATTCGCTTCAATTCATACTAATGTAATTTAGCATAGAGATTTATAGCTATGACCAGGATAAAAAACAGGAAGCCAAAGAAGCGATAAGTAAAAATCACCTCCATTTTTGGAAATTCATCAATAATCTGAGTCAATTTATCGTGTAAAACCTGCTGCAAAAATTTAATCTTCCGTGTATAAAATGATCGGATCCGGCTAATTGCAAAGTGACGGCGAATCACGGTCGGTGTTTTTCTTTGTGTTTTGGAAAGAACAATCTCCTTTAAATCCTGAAAAACAAATCTGCGCTTCACAGGATTTCACTTCTGCTAAAATCTTGAGTGTAATCAAAAACTATACAGAACTTTTTTCTTTTCCACATCATACTTAAAATAAATTCGATATTATATCATTTGAATAACTATCAACCTTCAATAACAATTAACTCACTGCAGCGGATGGAACGGCTGTAATCTTTTTGAAGTTGTAAATCGCCGGCATTTGAACCTAAAGTGGAATAAATTAAATAGAAAAAAAAAAGCGCAAAATTACTGATGTCACCTTTATTGCATACCTAATACAAGCTTACTGCAACTATTATTAAGTGATCTAGTTTACCTCATCTGATCGTATAAGAGTAAATCCCCTCCATCGTGATCAAGGGATTACGTATCACCACGACGACTAACTTCCCTAACACCCCAACCGGAACACCTCCATCCTCCCCACGTCCACGTGCCACGTTATGAAACGCTATGAAACCAAACCCATCAGAGTAACACACTACACTATCTGTGGTGATAGGAAAACGAATGTCTCATATACAAAACTTTGATAATACTTGGAAATTGAGGTGGCACAGTAGTGTTTATTGTAAGGCTTGGTTAGAGGCTAATGTTCGATTTTTGGCTAGTGGAACGGAAAATTCTTGAGAAGTTACATGCAGAGACAGATTTTGATCCACAATCTTTAGAATAAACAGGAAAATCTCCTGAAAAGGCGAATTTGTCGAAGTGAACGCAATAAGAGTCGCAGATGAGAGACACTCCTTATCACCCGAAGTATTCCTATAAAGTACCATTCCAAGATGAAGCAAATAAATGATCTCATCTTTTTTCACTTTCCTGCATATATATATATATATATATATATATATAGCGTACGGAAATAAGATTCTCAGGAACAAAAATTGTGTTTGAAGAAATACTTTGTATGTAGATTTTGTTGGAATGTTTAGAACCAGATGAAATTGCATCCCATGCTCAACATTCTCATTAACTGTACATTTCTCATTAACTCTAATTAAGTTTTTTTGTAGAAGGCAAAAACTTAAGTAATATTTTTATTTAGTGTAAGAAGAGATTTGTTTTTGGCAGCGTAATATATCGGAACTGTTTTTTGAATGCTTTATTTGAAAAATGAGATTTCACTGACTTTTTATCAATTTGTTTTCGCTTACTTTCTTCCTACAGAATATTTGAAGAATACAATTCAAACTTTGATTCATGAAAAAGTTTGATTCTGGTTAAATTTTAAAAACACTTAAAGAATTCTTAGCCGAAATAAATTTATCGCTAAAACAGATTATTCTACATTGCCGCTAACTGGCTGAATAACAACTGATAATTTTTTTCAATGTATTTAAGAAAAGTGATATGAAATTGTTTTTTTCTAGAAATGACAAGTCATATTATTCTTATTAGCTTCATATTTTCAGGATAACTCCTGTACTGGGAGTCCAACTTTTACCATACATAGAAAGAAAAACAAAACTAGGTCACAGAAAATGAAAGTGGAAAATGGGAGTTTTCTTTAGACACATACCTGTTGTTAAATTACCCAATACAGCATGATGCAATTTTCCCTCAACTTCGTTCTAGTCCATCAGTACAAGAAACCAAGAAATGAAAACAAAAAACTGAATGAGACTTACAGAAACATTTTATACAAGTTATAGTTCTCCTGAAAATGTTGTCAACAGTAGTTATAAAATCACCGGTTAAAAAATTTATAACTTAGAAGTAATTATTTTTAGTTATGGAATTTTAGATAACTGGATAAAACAATCTTGATAAACAACTGTAGTGAGTTATTTGAATCCAGCAGTTAAAAATTGATGAAAAAAAACTCATAAAAATAGGTTTTATTACTTCTAACTGGTTACAGTAAGCCAGATGATTCTTAATACTCAAGTAATCTATGACGATAACATAAATTTTCATGCTAAAAAGACACTCGATTAACCAAAAACCGGACTGCTGCAGAAGCAACAAACGGGTTTTATCAAAATTTTCCCAAAAGGTTTTCCCAAAATCAAAAAGGGAATGCTTAGCGGATTACTATGTAAATTTTATGCATCTTTTTTGCTATGTATCTTGTTTGTGTATGTGTTGTGTTGCGTTTTTATACTAAATTGAAAATATTGTTTGAAATTAATGCAAAATGATTTTTTTTGCTTACCAAAAAAGGAAAAGAACCGAATAGGATGAAAAACGTAAGAGTTATAAGGGGAAACTTTTATGATGCAGCATCCATTACTTTAGATATCAACATTAAGACACCAACTTTTCCAAATGGCATTTGCCAGTTTTTAGCGAAAATGAAATTCATATATGTAAGTGACAATTTTAATTATGATAGTGCTACTAGTATAACGGTCTGCTGCCAGCTGTATCATTGCTTGAATTATTTTTGGAGAAATAAAGTGCTCCAAGATGCGCTAATACAGTTAGAAAACTATCATTTACTTTGACTTGATGACAGCTAAAGATACTCGTTGATTGGTGAAGTTAATGTACACTTTGGATAGTTTATTCTTGTTTTTCCCCGATAACATTCTCTAAATAAACATGAGTTAGTTGAATAAATGAATCTTATGTGACAGCTTTTATTCTTTTCCAAATAAGTGACATAATGAAATGGTTGGACCGTGAAACTTATTGGTATACGATTACTAATATATGAGGATGTGAATCCAGATGCTAACATAGATTAGTGAATCTTTCAACATCACCTGGCACATGGTTGTAATATGAATACAGCGCTCTATCACGAATTTATGTAATAAGCCCTTTACTACTTAATATATTCATTTATTATGATTTAATATATATTCGGTTTACTAATATACTTTTACCCCTTTGTTTCGTTTTTCTTTTTTCGAAAAGTTTCAAGAAGGTTTGCTCGAACATTTATTAATCTCGTTTTGTTTGTCGCAACATTTTTCTTGCTAAGGCTGTTCAAAGTTACAAGTGTAACTTTTCCAGTCCATTTTTCATGCAAATTCATTCAATCAGAACCGACAGTGACCATATGCTCGAACCAGAACTTTGATATTTTTAACTGAAATAAATTTCTCCAAATTTATGTTAAGCTTAGTAATGATGAAAAATTTGAAAAAAAAGAAACTTTTCAATAGGCTAACTAACCGAAGCAGTTTTTCTTTTTTTTGAAGTAAATCTATTCAAAACCTATGGATTTCGGCTGTCAATGTATAGAAGCTAATTTATACCCAGTAAAAGTATCTGAAAACAATCGATTTTTACTTGAAAAAAAGTAATGTCGTAATAAAAAGGCTTATAACAGCACAGCTTTTTTGTTTTTTAAATTGGAAGAGAAGTGAGTTACATGCATAGTTGAGGTGCTTGTACATATTTGGAATTAAGAAATCAAAACGGGAAATGTAAGACGAAGGGGCACTGAGTGGTTACATCATTGATATAGCCGAGAGTAGTGGTGATTCTCGTCACACATTGAATAATTAAAAGTGTTGACAAGTAATGTCGCGTCTTTCCTTTTCCTTTCATCATATAAACTGCACTAGATTTGGCCAAAGTTCTGCAATAGCTTGATAGGATTAGATATTTCTAATTGCGTAACTTCGGCACTGACAACGGAAAGGGGAGAGACTACACGGACACGACTGCGGTCGTTTATGGGTAGTCAACAGTCGCGACTGCTCAAAAATCGACAGCAGCAACAGCCTGGCCTACGTCGACAACATCGCCACATTCATCATTTGCTAAAGAAGCGGGCAAGCATCCGTCATCTGCAACTGCAACGTTCTTCAATAGGATTTTCGATGAACAAGTAAGTGACATATTTATTGCTCTCTTGATGTCATGAACTTTTTCTTCATTCACTTATTGCTTGGTAGTTCTACTTTCTACTTTCAGCTGTGATTCAGTGATAATCTGTTTCTGAATTCATCCATTTCTACTTCACTGTCTAGCCATTTCGTGATACCTCAATAAACAAGGAAGCAGGTGTAGATAACTTATATAAAGATGCCAACAAAGAGAGAATGCACTGCTTGTTTGGGACATTCTCCTTATTTTCAATTAATCACCAAAACATATCATTGGATGGAACGTAGACAACAATAGTGATAGATAACACATATCACTGGACAGAATGTAGACAATGATGCTGATAGTGTGGAATTCTCCTGCTCATCTTCGCTTCATTATAAGTAATACAAAGATGGCTCGACTCATGGCGTACAACTCCTTTATTACTGACATATGTTTGCAGACCAGCCGAACTTCTTTCTGATAGATCTATTTTTGTTATTTCACTATCACCTTTAAAACTAACAGCAGTGGTTGTTTTGCTTTTTGTTGTACTGCCACTATCTTATCACGATAACTGTAATTGAGTATGATGACCAAGTAAAGTTTTACGAGACTGATTTAAATGCAGAGCGAGTAATTAACCTACAGCTGAAGGTTACTGCAAACAATGATTTATTTGCATTATTTGATACACCTTTTAGATTAGTAAAAAGTAGTTTAGCGATAGGTCCGATTGTGGCACTGAAGTGCCGTTGTAGTGATACCCTATTAGTCAATCAAGCATGTGCAGCATTAAAAAATTTTTCACTAATCTCACTTTTAGTCGTTTGCTTCTTATCTCAGCCTTCTCTTTCAGAGTTTTGCTCCTTATTGCTTTGGTTTTTCTTATTCCTTTGAAATTTTATGTTTCTGCGTTACAAAAAATGGAGAATATTTTTCCCTTCATTATCGGCATAAAGGAGGAGAAAGATAAGATTTGAAGTCTTATAAAAAGTTAAATTGGTGGAGCGTTTGGAATGATACTGTTTCAAAACAGAAAATTCTATTTGCGCTATATCACTTGTTGCATAAAAAGGAAAAAAAAATCTCACAAGGTAATTAATTGTTTATTACAAGTGTTAATGGCTTACCAGTTTGCAAGACAACTGGAAAGTTTCAAATATTCTAGAAAATAATAAAGCTTGTTGGTTGGCCTAGAATAAATTATTCTGAACTATTATGTAATCTAAATGAAATTCGTATAAAGCTAGCTTGAAATGACTGGACAGACATGGCTCTTGATTAACGCACATTTTTCTAGAAATATACGGAAGAATGTGTTTGGATTAAATGGAAAGACTACGTGGAAAGGATTCTATTTTGCGGGAATGAAGTTTTCAACTATGAATTAATTTGGAGACATTTTCCACTAATATGATCGAAAATTTATTTTAGCTCAAAAAATATCTCACTCTAATAAGAATGTTTCGTTCATCAGCATAGTTAAAAACTTGGAAAAATACCGCTACAGTTTTCTTCACCTCATTTCCAATCATGCGACATTCTTGATATTTTTCAACAAAATCTTGATTTTTGACTATGCATTATACTTGTTCATATTCGTTCAAGTTTTAGATGATACTAACAGACTGTTCTATCAGTTACTGAATCAGCTTCTAATTGTACATCGGGCTAAACTTTAAAAAGTGTGTGAAAACCACACTTCTCTTCATGATATAAAAAATATTTCAGACCACACCTCTGAAACCGTATCGCTAGGAAATCCTACAAAGTCAGTGAGATATTCAGTATTTATTCCTCATTGATTGATTGATTGATTTTTTTCTAACTTCCGTAATGTTATTCTGTCCATCCCAGTTACCGTTGGATGTTTTTCGAAATTCTTTGATATGTATTATTATTTGGATGTATACTAAATCTTGACCTCTCAGTATGGAAATGTTGCTCAACTTAGTCATCTCGATCAAAGAAAATTGTTGTTACGCAGGATATTCAGTTGAGTTCATGAAAAGTTTGAAAATATGGGAAATATTAAAGCTGCTCGAGAGATTCACAAGAAGGGCAACTGTATACCAAACATGGACAGTTGTGTTTGTAGAAATTCTGGAATAAAAATCCGACAAGCTATGGAAATCTTATTTTAGAAAGTATTAGCTATCGATATAAAGGTACTTGATAGTTTTTGTAAAGTAAATCGACATTATGTGCTTATAGGTTACATGACATTTTTTATTTCTTTTTTAATTATATTGTCGGAATTTTGAAATTCCTTAAAATATTTCAGTAGGTTTGGTAAAGAGCTTAATTTATTTTTTCATTATTGATCGGCTTTCATTTTCACTTTAGCAATTTTGATCTCGTCTTAATCGTTTGTTTCCAAATTTCTTCCACAGATATATTTCGTGTAATTAAGCACAGTAACGTCAAGCAGTGCTTTTTTAGTTTTTGCCCAAACTGCGACCTAAACATGAAATGAAATGCTCAAATGACCGTAGTCTAATCAGCAAATCAACCAGGCAATTTACCTTGACACGGTTGTAATGGCTGTTTTCTTCGAACATTTTCATATTCCACTTTGTATCTTGTTTCTTTGATCAAACCGGGAACAACGATTTTTCAGGATCTATCGTTCGTCCTCACAATCATATCCTTATCCACGAACGCATACACTCGTTGTTGTTCCTCCTTCACGACCAGTAATGGAGAATAATGCCGAAAAAGAGCATACTAAAATGCGACCACCGCTGAATCGTACCATACCACCAATACCCGAATCGAAGTCCAGTGATTCCATTATAACTCATATCTCGGAAAAACGTGTTGAAGCTCATGATGAACTGGAGCCTTCAACTTCCCGAGCTATTCGAGAACCTTCATGCGACAAATTCATAAGAGAGCTTGTTCCATTATTTACCGCTAAGGTAAAATAGTTATATATAACATGAAGTTAAGTACTGTGAACGGAATCTCTATTACAGTTTAATATCTTCAAATTTCTAAAAAATATGGGCATAAATAAATAAGCAAATTGTACACGCCTAATTTTTTGAGACACACTTTCAATTCACGAAGTATTTCTGGAGCAAAAAGTATATAAATGAATAATTCAGTCTTCTCCTTTTATCACTGCTTGGTTTCAACTTAACTTCTAAGTTGGAAGATTTTTTTGTTAAAACCATTTCAGAAATTTTCAGAACGAAATATTCGAAAACATAGGAGACGTGTTATATTGTTACAAGAAATATTGTTTCCATGAATTTCTCATGGATTTGTCATGTTCACAGATTTAGAGGGTCATCGGGATTTTTCTGTCGATCGCAGTCAAAAATTTTAGTCTCACGAGAATATTTTGTTCTGGAACAAAAATGGAAGAAAAAAATTCAGATTTATTGCAAATTTTCATTAGATTATATAAATTTTCGAATTTTTAGAAAGAAGAAAGTGTTCCTGTATGAATTTACAAAATTTTCTAGGAACTACAGATATCTCCAGAAAAAATCAAGTGTAATAGATCAGCAGTTACCGAAAATAGAATGGCGCATAATTTGGTAACAAAAACTGCGGTAATCATTTCCAACCATACCAGACGGTCAGAAGATGTGCCACGAAGCCCGTTGATGACTGTTGCCCACTCAGTGCGGTCAAAGCTTACAAAACTTGGAAATCGTTTTAGTCGATCAGATGGAAATCAAAATATCCGTACCAGTAGCAGTTTATCTAGGTGAACATTGACAAGTTCCAGTGATCTTCCAATAAATTTTTAAAGGACCGTGTAATCTTCAATGCATCCTTCAGACAGTAAAGAAACGTTTAGAAAGGGTTTAAAAATTTCTTAAACTTGTAGTTTTCATTGGTTTGCTGTTATTATATTATAATGTTATATCATAGTGATATTTTGTTTCATTAATGAGATGAAGCAATGGTCATATTACCAACTGTCGGTACTAAATGTTAGTCACGGTTGCTTATCGTCGGTTTTTCTCGTCATACCGCTTGTATGTTTATGTTAAAAGTACAAAATTATTTTGTAATTGCGACACTTTGGTGCAATTTTTGAGAATATTTTGTGAAATTTTTTGTATATTTGAACTGTTACTCACTGACTTCATTTAACTGCATGGAGAAAAATCACCATTTTAGATTTCTAGAATTTAACCGTGTTGTTTCAAAAAATTGACAAAGTCAATTTTCTCATATAAGTTCGATGCTGTCAGTTAGAACTCATCAGTTTCTATTTTTTATCATCTATTTGTCTTTTCTAACTGTTTTTGTAGACTTAAGAGTTGGGAAATTCCTTTATGAGTGAGGAAGTAGATATGTTAAATTATTTCGAAGCTAGCTTGTTTTAAATGTTTTGAAATTGGAAAAAATATTTTCCTTTTAGCAAAATTTTTATTACAGCATGCGTCGAGGTCCAGTCGCTAAACTGAGTTACGTACCACCTAATGCGCAATGCAAGAAATCAGCAAGTATGGAAACGCGAACCAATCATGATTCTAACGATTCAATCAAATTTGTTCCCTCTAAACAAGCTCCAGGAAACAATGCACTGAGAATCCCAAGAATTCCGAGATCACGAACATCTTTAAATAATCAGTCATCACGTTTGGAAACTTATAGACAAAATGTTTTATTGAATCAGGGGGAATGTTCCAAAATTAAGAATTTGCTATCCAGATCGGGAAATGATGCGGAAACGAACTCAGGTGTGAAAGCTTTCAAGATACATTTGGAACCAAGAACTATGCGGAATGTTTCACCATCTGATAGGTCTCGTCAATTCAATTCAACCATTCTAACATTTACAATGACGGCTGAAGCTCGCACTTCCAAGAATGAAGAAAATATCAAAGAAGCGAAAATCAAGCCTACAATGAATATTTTTGTGAAAAGTGATATAGGTAATTCGTAATACTTGAACTAATACAATTCATAAACAAGCTGCAGTTAATTGCAGTTCCCTTTCAAGTTTTATTACGGTCAGTGAAGTTATGCATTTTTATTCACTGCTTATTTCTTCAACTTTTTTATTATTCAAGTTGTTGTACCCACAGAAGATAAAGCTTGCTTACATCTCCATCCTCCACCTCTTAGATTCTTAGATCACAGAATTTAGTCTACAATTTTTTGCTTAACTAGAAAATATTTTAAGTAGATTATATTCTGATACATGATGGATATCCTTCCTTCTTTTAGGGCAAGATCGAACATCCAGTGGAAAATCTCAACATAACAGAAATGATCATGAGCAGATGAAAGCAGGAAGTACCAGTCGACAAAAATCTTTTATACCCCTCTATACAACATCACGAAAACTGCCTGCAAGTAGATCAGGTACCGAGATGAGCCAGGTACTTCCCATGTCTGATTTTTTTTTAATTAAAAGAGAAATAGAGTCAGTGAATTGAACTTCTTGACTTCCCTTGCAGTTGATAGAAACTTCATGGCTCTATCTAAATCTAAATAGTTCTACTGTACATAGCTCACGGCATGATCTTTTCTTACAGGCACCTTTGGCAGAATGTGAGTCATCCTGCATTGAAAACTCGCCAGCTGTTGAGGTATCCCCGCTAAAATTTATTCCAGATGAGATTCATTATGGATGCATAAAAGAAAGTTCGAAGGACAGGGCTACAAAATCACAGATAGTGGGCTCTAGCTCATCAACAAATTCAGTTAAAGGTTCCTTTCAGCAAAACAGATATTTTGAGGTCTAAGTATTGTCATAATAACCCGAAAAATTCAGCAGTTCGTATGATTATTATTGTTCTCGATGCATTTCAGTCAAAAATTAAGTCAGTTTTATCAAATTCAGTTTTTTAGCACTTGAAGAATATTCCTAATTTGACATTCTTTTCGATTGTTTTACAATCTATTTAGTATTTCAGAAGCTTGCAGGAATCAGTTTTTGAGCAGTGAGTTAACTTACAACTGTGTCAAAGCAACAAGGGAAAAATCGTTAAATGATAAAAGAAAGTGCGTTATCGACAAGTCGAGAGTTATTCTCAATTCCCTTTTCCAAATAACAAATAAATTTCGAAACATAGTATCTAGTAAAATTTAGAAACGCACGAATTCTTTTTAAGAGATGGTTGTACAATGACCAATGTTGCACTACGAGACGGTTTGTTAAATAATAATTTACCAGACAATTATACTGATTGCTTCTGTGATAATGATGTCAAATCGAGGGACAATCCAAATGCTTTCGTTTCACCAACCGCTGTGACATTATCTGGACTTACAACATCCTCTGGTTATCAATATTTTCCTGACAAATTTCCAGATAAAGATGCGGAATTGAGTGAGCAATTTGTCGATATGACCATCATCCAAAAGTTCGTCTTTCCTGGCTATTCATTTCAGCTCGTCAAGGGTTACTAATAAAAAAAAAGTTTCGATTTTTATAATGTGTTTTTTGTGGGATGCTTAGATAGAATTCAAGTGGTATTAACGAAAGAATGCGATTACAAGAATTGCTAGTCACAGTTCAAGCCGAAAAATATTTTTTAATTATGTATAATCCACTTTCTGGTTTCTATACAATGTAATGAACGCAGCTAATTTGTATAGCATTTAAATTCACGACAAAAATTCTGCGGTACTGAGTGTTTTTATACAAGTGAAATCAGTCCTGCAGTTGTATTCTGATACAGCAATTCTGAAATATCAGAAGTATGGTGAATTTATTTTTAGAAAATCTGTTGTGGCAATTGTATCAGCTAATTTCTTATAGCTACTGAATTTGGTTTAACTGATACAAGTCCTTACCATCTAGTAGCTACTGCTATATTCGGTGACGTATATGCTATTTGGCTAAAAAACTTTTGTAATATCTTGAAACGTAATAATGTGTTAAATGATACCCAAACTATATTATTCAATGGTCGATATCATCAGTAAATGTTTAAAGAATTTAACCTTTCATTCACTGTGTGTCTCTCTCTTTTGCCAGCTTTATTAAGTTTATCCGTAATAGTTGAGCTTATGGAATTGTGATTTTAATTTACAATTCGTCTTCTTTGGAATGAAATCAATACAGAAGATTTAGTTTGGAAAACGAACGTATCTGCACGTCAGAGACACGCAGAAATGTTATACGCGTCCTATATAGATTGGATATCTTCGAGGAACTTTTGAAGCACGGTTTTTAATACACCTTAAAAATTCGAAAGTCTTAAGAGTACTTCCGGAATTTTTCCGTTTGCAGCAAATCTTGTGAGGTGACTGTCTGAAGTACCGATAAGTACGGATTTTCCAAGTAAATGTATATTTTACCGAAAAAACGATTTCCATTTCCGAAAAACTTTAAGTGAATTTCATGCGAATCTGTTATATCAAATAGTGAAGGTCACCCCAATTCTCTCTAACCGTTTGAGGTAAAGCTGGGGTCTTTCCAGAGAGCAAAACTTTCGAACAGTTAGTTCTCCGTGAAATAGGCAATGAGGAAGACGGGCAGAATCAGTTATGTTAGGCGGCGATGGTGATGACGTTGACGACAATGACAAGACCCTTTTCGCTCCTCCGCTCTTTCCGTTTCCATTTGGATGTTTGTGGTGGAGTGGTTTGTGTGAATGGTGCTGGTGCGGCTGTGCTGTGATGGCTGACTGTCTGCTGCTGAACACGTTGATCAAGTCGGTGAGGTGAGCATCTGCTTAACTTTTTGCGCAATTGTTACTCTCAAACCTCTATTTAATTTCTCTCTTCTGGCTTATTACCTTCTGCTTATCGATCGTCTTCATTGCTACACTTTTTGAATTAAACTTAAGTTCGGTAGTCACACAGTATCCATTATTTCCATTTTCAGTTTGCCGTACCATCCTATTTCAACAAATTTAATTACATATACAAATCAATTAATTTTATTTACTTGTCTACTTAATCTATTTATTTAATAGTTAATTAACATGTTTAATTAATTTGTTTACTATCTATTTATCTGTTTATTATTTATATTCTTTATGTTTGTTTATTAATCCATTTTGTTTTATTGATTTATTTATTATTTATTTAATTTATTCATTTGTTTATGTTTATTTCTTTAACTAAATTAATTTATTTATTCATTTATTTTTGTTTATTTATTTATATTTGTTTATTCATTTATCTATTTATGTGTTTATATTCTTATATTATTATTCGTAAATCAAATTACGTGTGCTCTTTAGTCTACAAAAAGTGACATCGTTTTTTTTATGTTCCAACTAGCCGAATTCATCATTTTACTTAATTTTTCGCTTCACAAGAAGTACTGGTTTTTTTTTTTTTTTTTTTCATGTTTTTAGTTTTATTCCTGACTAATCTTGACGGATTTGTTTTCTATTACTTTACTCTAAGTAACTTCAAAATTCGTTGAAGGCGGTGAGCTGAGGCGCACCGAAATATGAATCTATTATTTCTGTTGTTCAAGAAATCCTTCATCATTGCTGCTGGCCGTATGGGTTGCTTTCTACCTTAATAAATCCAGCTTGTCGGCTAGTTATTTCAGACCGCATAAAAGTGTGAAAAGGCATTCCTGTACATTATTGTAACATATTTAGTTGTAAACAACTGTGCATTGTACTATTCCACATGGGAGAGTGAAGTTTTAGTTTTCTTGATAGTGCACTGAAGTGGATGGCTGAAGGTGTGCTATTTATTCACAGTTGATTAGTGCATTAAAGACAATTTGTTTTCTGATTTAGGCTTATGTAAATTCGGTTTCAGACTTTAAGAGAGTTTTGATTTCGATTGAGGTATTGTTTTTTTCATCTTGATCTAATTACTGTTCATATTTTTCTGCAAAAGATGGCTACTTCCTCTAGTAAACCTGCTACTAAATTTATGTAAATATAAATATATTTATTTATCAGTCAAGGAGACTTAAGCAGCCTGTAAGTTCTATTAACCAGTTCTATTATATTCAGGCATTGCCTTGAAATGATACAAGTACATTTTAACTACTCATTTGTAGGAAATGCGAATATGCAGAAATGCAAGTTTCGGACAAGCAGCTTTCTACTACGCGTGTTTGTCCATGTTTCATCTATATGTGTCAAGGGACTTTTCATAGGAATTGCTCCTGCCTTTTATTCCCTCTACCTCTTAAAATCAGAGATAAGTGTGGATTAGAAAACAGCTTATATTTGAAGTTGTAAAGTATTTAGTAAGTTAAGGTTGCATACTGCTCCATTAGGTCTTGTGTACTTTGTTTTGTTCATATTCAAAAACACTGAAGATATCTACTAGTTCTGCAGTGTTGTTATAATATTTGTGCTTCCGATTTGGTTGCACCTGATGGACTATGGATAATGGTTTCTGTGCAGCGATAAATAATTGTTCCATAAATTTGATATGCTTATGGATGTATTAATTTTAGGACAGGTCGATCTCGCTCACGGCGACCACCACCACGCGACCTTGATCATGGATCAGCTGTTCCACAAGATTCAGTTACAGGTCATTACAAGTAAGCATTATATTGAGTAGCTTATCTCAGGTGCTTTCCGTAACTTTGAGTTTAATTTTATTGTGACTACATTGCTGCCTTTTTATCTTCTGTCAATAAATTTATACCTTTGATTTAAACATTATTTTTCAAGCGTAATCTTACTTTTTTTACAGTCTGTAGTTTGAGGTCAGTTTTCATTAAGAATTCCTAAATTCAGAATCAGAAGTACTTTTAACATCCGAAAACATTTTGGGAAACAATTAGTTAATTCTATAGTCTTCCGATAATGATAACAGTTGTTTGAAACCAGCAAAAAATATCCTATCATTGATGCATTCGAAGCTATAGCTTGTCTTGACAGTAATTTTTTTTTTCATTGTAGAAATTCCACATTCATGCTTTTGTTGACTGTTTGCTAATTTTGATAAAATTATTTTCTTTTGTGGAATTACACTCGAATTTGATATGGAATTGTGTCATCAGTAAAAACTTCTATTTCGACTTTATTTTATTCTTATAAACTACGCTTCATAGATTTGAAATTTAAATACTAATTTTGCGTTTTTCTACAGGAATCAAGCATATGATGAAGCACTGATCAATGAAAATAAGATCGTTGCATTTCCTAGCGTAGCGATGTATGAATCATCGTGTAATGATGTTGTGTACATAAAAAATCAACTGCTGGAATTGAGAAGATTGATTAATGCATGTTTATCGTATTATATTACTACCATCCGTTCTTTTTTATAAGGTTTTTAAGTGTTGGCCAGGAGCGTAGAGCCGTGCAAATTATTCCAGAAATTTGTATCTTTTTGTACTTAAGAAAGTCATTCTTAATTTGCGACTATTAACTTTTTGACTGAATATTAAAATCAGTTATGAATGCATCTGTAAAAAAAACTCGAATTATTTCATCATTTCTTTGTCTAAAATTTAATTAGCTGATCTACTAATGAATCGCTTTATTCATTGTTTTCTTCATTACTGATTCGGATTTTTTTCAGAACTCAGCAGCAACAGAAGGCGCCAACAAATCCACCTCACTGGTATGTTTCTCTTTCTCTACTGATTGCTTTATACATAATAATGAGTCTGAAGAACTTTCTGAAATTTGACTGTTCCAGAAAATAGAGGACAGCGATGTTGTGAAACAACTTCTTAAGGAAAATGATGCTTTGCGTAAGGAATTGGTGGAAAAAGATAGGACAATCAGTAAATTAAAAGCTCAGATGTTACTTCATTGATTCTGTGATTGATTGTGATATTTTGCCTGATACATATGTGTCTTATTAGGTATCATTTTTTCGTTTTCATCTAATTTAGCTGTTAGCTATTAAGGATGTTTTCCTTAATTGACATTAGGAAAGGTATATTGAGAATATTAATTGTAAGCTGAAATTTGAGTTGTATCGTGTTTTCTTCAAAAAAAGAACCTACAAAAACACGTAGTGAACTATGATCACTGCTTTTGTTGCTTCTTCCTTTTTTTCCTTTGGAGCAGAATCTTATTTAGGGATGACATTTTGAATGCAAACTCAGAATTAAAAATCTCAGTGAAGATGTTTTTTGTTTTCCTGAAATCCGGAAGTACTGGATGAACAGGATTCAAAAACTTCATACATTACTTTATAAATTCATACGTATATTATTTCTTTGTGCATCGCTGTAGGCAACAGTTGTTAAGATTTTTTTTTTGTGTAGGTAGCTAATTTATTTAAGATAAGTTATTCTCTATTTATTATACATGGAATGGTCAAGTATTTATTATTTAACATTTTATGAAATCTGAAGATGGCGAGGATAATCAATTTTGGGGAAGCCGCATGATGTCCTTTAAAGTGAAACCTTAAATAAATATTTAGTTTTTCTAACAGTAAAAATTATCTTGTAAGGGTTTCTGAGTCTTGATATTGGGCATTTTTATGTGCTATTAACTGTACTATTAACTATTATTATTTTGAGTTTAAAGTATATTCCAAGGATCATACTCCATGGATCAGGATTCCAATATTTTCTGGAAGCAAATTAAATTAATGAAATGGATACAAAATCATTTGCTTTAGACTTTATATGTCCAAGTGCGATGTTCATGCGTAAATTCTCAGTGAGCTCAGTTAAACTCCGGGTAACGTTGTCTGCAAAATTTTCAAATTCTTCAGAACAATTTATCAAAACTGATGAGTATCTTTAACCGAATATGTGACGAATATGAAGTTTAAAGTAGATCTGCTTTACTAAGCTTTATTCCAAACTCCCAAACTGCTACATTTTCTGGAAATTCGTTTCAGAGTGTTCTAGAGTACTTACAGTATAGATTATTAATCACTTAACTGACGAACAAATTAACACATGTGAAAAAAAAAAAATGGTTCCGGAAAAATGCTAATCAGGGTTACCAATAAACATAGCGAATAAGTTGATATCAACTGCTTACATTCCAGTAAGAGATCAGTGAACATTTCCGATTTATGCCACTTTTATGAATTAGTTAACGAGAAGTTTGCATTTATGCGTTATAAATTTGTTAAAGATGCACATTTCTATTTGAAACGAAAGCATATCAGTTCTCATGATTTTCAATTTCTGCAATTTGTTTGAAGACAAAATCAGTATCAACCATATTAGAAGGAAATGCTAAGATGAAGAAAACTCGAAACATTCCGAAGACGATTTTACCATTTTTGCCACAAATTCATATAAAGTAGGACATGATAAAACTACAACTTAAATGACTTTTCTGGATGATTTGTACTTGAAGAAATTTTATAAAGTTTATCAACATAATGGTTTTCTATCTGGCGAAGATTGATTGTGGCAGCAAAGCGGAACATTGTTCCTGAGATGATTGTTATTATTACTACAGCCAATACTAGCATCTTTCAGGTGTAAGAAAATTTATTTAATTCTGTACTGGATAAAAATGATAATAAAAATGATAACAGTAACTTTTGTAAAATAGGAGTGAAATAGAATATCTGATTCTGAACCTGTCGATTTGAGAATGAATCTAAGACGATAAATTTCTTACAGTAATAAGTGAGTGTAAAGTAAGTGAAAATTAGTGTGAAAATTTTTAGCTAACAAATTTACATGGAGAATTTGATGTTAGCCAGTATTTTCCGATTACAAAACATTTCCATATTTTTCATTGGTTTAGTATCTGACTTCTTGCACATCTCAGATTACTTTCTTATGTCGTGAAAGGATCCACCCCTTACATATACAGATAGTGTTAACTCTTGTTAATTTGTAATAAATTATTGAATAAAGATTATTATCTAATAGACTAAGATTGTTAGTATTAAGAAAGCTAAATTAAAGAATTAAAAATCTAATATTCGCAAAAATTAGTGACTTTGGAAAGATCGTTATCAGTTATCAACACTTGGGCGATTTTTTTGTTTTTCTTCAGTATCAATCTAATAATGGTCTTAGTTAGATTAGCCAGAAAAGGAAAAAATGATACTTGACAGAGTGGCTGAGTTATTGAAATCGAGAAATGAAAACAGTAAAACGAGTTCTAATTGAATTTAAATCAAAGTTTATACCTAATTTGTTACCTTAAAAAAATTCGAATATAGTGACAGAAAAAAAGCAGCATGTACTATTGTCGCTCTACTTTGTATGATGACATTTTCAAACGGACCTTTCGTATTTTGTTTTTTGAATTTGAATGCATTTTGAACTTCATGTATAATATTTTCCACAGCAACTTCATTTCTATCTTGGGACAATCTGTCGTGGATTTTAATATCACGAAACTCTAAAATATTGTATGACAGTTTAGAATATGAGTAAGAAATATTTGCAATGAAATCTTGCAAATAATGTTTATGTTTCCAATCTTACGTTTAATGGATAAATCTTTTATCTATTGTTTACACGGTATCAGTTCCTCATTTAGTTGACCTCACTGTCACTAATTGTAAATTATGATTAACATCCTTGTTAAGAAGGGGCATTGTGTGTTTTTACCAAGAACTGGTAGAGTTCACCTTCAATTCTTTATCAAATTATTGTACTACTGCTTCTACTAATAAAGGAATTATTACTTCCTTCTGTTACTTCATATATTCCAATGAATCTCCCTGAGATCAGTAACCTCTCCCAAAATAATTAAATTTCAAATCTTTCATGACATAATTTGGTAACACCAGACTTCATCCTGCATAGCAGTCTGAAGGATCTGCTCCACCAGTCATTATCTCGCTACCAATCCATTATTTATATTATATATTTATACTTACTACCAATCCATTATTTATATTATATATTTATACTTACTACCAATCCATTATTTATATTATATATTTATACTTACTACCAATCCATTATTTTTCCCATGATCAAGAGTTGATTTTGCTTTTTTCATTGCAAATTAATTCCCCCAATTGAGTTAATTATAATTTTTGATTTCGGCCTATTTATATAACAGAAATTGAAGTCAACTGGGTATATCATTCAATCTTTTAGATAGTATTGAGATGCAACCGCTTCGTTCAAACGCAGTCATTTTAAACCTGTTCTACTCGTCTGAATGAATTTCTTATTCCTCATCTACACTGAATCCCATTGGATTTTATTTCAATGATTATTATTCCTAGATACACTATGGTTAATCAAGATTACATGTCACTCGTCTACAACATAATATATCCATTTTGATTTGCAGAGAATACGATGTTGACCAATATTTTATTGAGATAAAGATTATGATAATATCAGGAAATAGTTGTAAGAAAGCAGTGAATGTCAGATTGTTATCTAGAAAATCTAACCCAGATAAAAAGTATAACTCTTTATATAGTAAGCATTAACTAACAAGCATGATTTACAATTCTGTAAAGAAGATCAGCTAAATGAAAAATTAACCTTGTCAAAAAAATTTAGAGAATGCCGTCCATTTGATGTTGACAGAAAAAAAAAAAAAAAAAAAATTTAGAGAATGCCGTCCATTTGATGTGGTGATGATACAAAAAAGTTAGAGTCGGATGTTATGACTTAGCTAATTCCTCTGAATTGCAGTTTAAATATTACATCAATGGGAAAAAAAATGCAACATTGCATATAGTTCTGATAGCAATATTAAAATAGTAGGTAGCAAACCAAGTTATGAAGATTTAGAGAAAAACATAGACGTTAAAATCAAACTTGATGGTAAGGAGCTAAGTCTCATTGATGCTATAAAAGAACTATAACAAAAGGAAGCTTAATAAGCTAAAAATTGAAGCTTTACCGCATTAAGATTTAGAAACAGAGTTAGTTAATTTGTTGTATAAGTGCCATAGTAACGTCATAATATCACTTGTTACACAACTTGCAAACTGTAATGCGTTCGTACAGTCTTAAATATTTCCCTTTGAGGCTTGCCATGGCTGTTGCACTGTTTATACAAATTTCATAATTAATTGGATGATGCAGTTCTGCCCTCTCTTAATTTACAAGTATACCAATGATTTTCTGAAACAAAGCCTTTTTACTTTTGCTCATTTCACTGTTTCAGTCTTTATACATTTCTTTTAGCTCTTTTCTTCCCCTTGCTTTTATGTTGTTACTTTGCAGTAAAGTTTTAATTTGTATCACGTGATTTATTTACAAAACCTAAAATTCCTAAGCCTTTATCATTTTAAAATCCTTTATCAAGTCCAGCTCTCCATCTAGCTTTAGTTAGTCCTCTTAACTGAATTTTTGCTCCTTTCTTCAATCGTATGTTTTTTTTTTTTGACTTTCTAAACATAAATAATTTACTATGTTGCTCGGGTTTATGAATTTTCTTTTGTAGATCATTTATCCATTCTATAGAGTTTTAATCTGATCATCAAGATTAACAGTTTTCTTAACTTCTTCTTTAATTTGCTCAAACTTGCTCTTATCTCAAGAAGTTTTTCTCAGATATAGCAGAATTATTTTGCTCTTTAGGAAAGTTGGAATTTCAACTTTTCTTGGCACTCTTCGGCTAAGTACCTTCCTAACTCCAGCAAATTTTTGCTATCGTTTACCGCAGCTTTTTTTTTTTTTTTTTGAGACTGTTGGCTTTAAGTTAGATGATATTTCATTTTTATTTGATATTAAGCTTGTATCAAACGCTTCACTGTCACCTGTTAAATTGAAATTGAAAGTTAAGAAAGGATAAGCTTTACTTTATCTAAAGATGCTTATTCAGGAAGCTTGCAGATTCCAAATCTTAATTTTCCAGTGAATATGCTTTTTTCGTTTTTGTTTTTTAACAGCAAACCAGTCTTTTAAATAATTTCTGTGAATAGGGAAAAATCATTAGAGAGTTGCAATGCAAACTGCAAAAATTAATGCAAATTGATTGCATCGTTTATTCATGCTCTGCAAACAAAGTTTTTACAAGTGCAATTGCACTTCTGATACTTTTTTGAAAAGCAGTAAGCGAAGAGAGACAAAATAAAGTAAAACGCAAGTTACTTGGTTACTCAAAGATTTTGAGTCTCCAGACCAAATCACCAGCCCTTTTGAGTATATTGCTATAACCGTCGGATTACTTGATTCAAATAATTTCATTTGATTAAAATTGCTGGTTTTGTCCCAAGCAAGTGTTATGTCGCTACCAACCAGTTTCCTAAGTTTATAGTCTTGTTCACAGTTACCTTGTATTTTACTAATTTTACTACTTACACCATTGCTAATTACAAGCTCAGGCAATATTTCTTTCCTTCTTCAATTTCCAGCTTTCTTGTGTTCTCCCATATGTTTTAACCAGCCTTCCGAATAATTTCTACAAATATACTTGAAGAGTATGGCATCTTTCTTTGTCCTACTTATCCTTGCTTTAAATATAACACAGTGAATTGTTCTTCATCCAGTTCACTCATAATCTGATCCCTTAAAACTGTGTCTGCTGTTTCGATGTTTTTCAAATCTTCAGCTGACATTTGGAAAGAATTTTCAAAACAACAGATGTCGGGCTCTAGGTAAATTTACAAGATCTTCACCGCTTATCACAATTTAAGGATTCAACAAAGCTCGATCAGTAATTTTTATCTTTCATTTCTGACCAATGGTGAAAGAGCCGCACTCATTAATTTATTTTCAATCTATATCACATTATTGCTGGCTATGTTCAACTATGTGACTCCCAAAACGCCTTCATTTATGTGTTTGACGGAGAGGTTACCTCTAAATAAGCATGCAGTTTTCTTTATTAAAGTCTGATTCATACGAACCGCTTAATAAATGATTAGCATTCTACCAGGTTTCTGTTTACCATAACGTCTTGTTAATACTATATGATGTGGAAATGCGATTCTGTCGCTGACTAATCATGAGCACTGTTACGATTTTTTGATGAGATGGATTGTGACCATCCACTTTTCTTAACTTTCTCGATATGTCCCTGTCATCGAGGAAAAACGTATCATCAAAAGGTACACTTCTCGTTAAGGTGTCATCTTCGTAGTACTGTCTCTAATTAGCAAAAGAGATTAAGAAACGTTTGGCATCCGGCCTTTTTTACCTTTTTTAATGCCTTCTGTCGAGAATACAATGAATTTGGATGCCCTAAAACATCATTTCAGAAACCTCCGTGACTCTCACAACCCCACAAACTGCACTTTAAATTCGATGCACTCGATTTCCGACATTGGTGTTGAACAGAATGGTTAGAGGATCATCCAAAGGATGAAGTTACTTTGAAATCGATATGTTGGACTTCCTCGGTTACTTTTCATGATTTCTTCTTTGTTTTGAGCGCTGCGACAGTATTTGTAAGCTTTTTAGGAAAATTGACAGAACAAGACGCTTCGGTTAAGACTGAGAGAAAACTGTGCTCATAAATGCTGAAGAAAGAGTCAATATCATGGATGAAGATCGTCTTTCTCTCCGCGAAACCATCTGCAATATTGATTTTATTTGCGATAGGATTTTTTATTCCAAACTCTGTTGTACTGCTGACGGTGCTATGATCTGAATTGACCTTCTAGACTGCAGTGATAAATACTACTCGGTTCATGTCGTATTTTCGGTGATATTGATTCTTAGATGAATCGTTTCGTGCTCTCTTGCTGCTTCTAGGCATGTTTTCAGAACCACATATGTTTCTGAAATGATTTCATTGAATTTATTAACTTAATTTACTTTTTTTTACACATTTCACTTGCATCACTCGAGAAAAATCGTACTAGCACCCTTATTTTAAGAAGTCTCTAGTAACTGTTTTGGTGACATATAAACTAACAAAGATCGCAATAAAATACAATATGGATTTATGAGCTGCGCAAATAGTTCATTTGTATTCCACAAAGAGCTGTTTTAGCTTTGTCATATCTTCCATATGCAACGTTATTTGCTTTTTTAGATGGTGGATGTATACGTTTGCTGATAAAACGACGAATACTTCAATGTAAAAGATTACGCACATGATCGTAAATGGATTCCAGAAATCAAAAACAGAAGTAACTCTTCCATTTTATTTTGTTTTTGTGTTGTGCCATTTAGTTGAATCTTGCAGAAATTTTTGCTACAAATAATCTGTTTACTTTGCAGATTCCTGTTTGTAGTTGCTACGTTTATGTTCATCTATGTTATAAGACATGAGAAGGCGACTTCACCCTTGCATTTCCAGCTCTGGAAATTTCCATTCTTCATACATGCGATTACCACATTAATCACTCACTAGACCAGAAGTATGATTTGTTAGTTGGTCAGCGAATTAAAAAATTTTTCTTTGTGGACTTATAAGTCGTCAGTGCAAAGTTTTGTTGGCCAGTTTTCATATTATTATCACACTTTTCCTTGTTAGGGATTTATATATTACAATTTTAAATTAATGATGATATGGTAGTATTCTTTCATGCTGCAAGAAAAGAGGTGCTAGAAACCTTTCACTCCAATTTTTCACTGAATTTATTTGTCAAGGATTTGGGAAATACTCGTTCAGGTAAAAAGTTCCGCAGTAGAGTATCCATTTAATCATATGTTGTCATCTATGAATCATTACTAGGAAAAATCTAGTTTTATCTTTGCGTGATTATCTTTCTATTTTTGTTGTCCAGTTTTTTTAAACTATCCTGCTCATGTAGAGTTGGATGTCATTTGTTATACTTGTTACAAACTGCTTATATGTTAGCAAAATTTTCGAAATTTTTAAATTTCTTGTAAGTGATGATTTCTTTTTTACTGTGTTATACTTTGAACAACTAAATCGTATGTTTTCTGCACAAACTCGTATTAGCTTCTTAATTCCTCTATTAAAAAACGCACTTGTTTCTTCTTATCTTTAGTCATTGGTTTAGTTTTCACCCGTACCTTTGTAAATCAGTTTCTTTTCCTTGTACTTTTTGAAAATCCGTTTATTCTTGTGTTTCAGTAAATAGTTTCGTGGTTGTTTCACCCTTTTTCTGACTATGCCAGTCTTTAATGGCCGAGATTCCTCCTTCCTCATGGATTCTTGTTTGTCAGTTGAAATGACCATATCGATACATTTTTTCAATGCTTGGAAGAATTCGAAGGTTAACTATCGTGAATGCTTATTAGAGCCGCTCTTCAATTAGCTTTTTGAAAATCGACCAAGTTGGAGAAAGTTTTGAAGAATGATATGGTTCTTGCATTTTGCATTCGGTGAAATATCTTGTGATGGTATTTTCGTCTTGAGTTTTGAACTTGATTAGTTGTGGATTTTCCGCTTTTTCTTTAATTTGCGTAAGAAAAGTGGACGTAGTAATTTTCGTGGAGAGAAAATATATCAAGGGAGATAACTTTTTATTGAGTTTTCTATTTATGCTGCCAATAAAGATTCTTATTGTTGCAGTTATAATATCGTGGTTTTTTTTTCAGTTGGGAAAGCTTGTGCAATGCAAAGGTTTGTTTTACTCACTATTTTGTTTCATCATGTCATAATAATTTAACGGTCACATTATCAGCGTCCCATAAGTGGTTTGGTATAACTTGATTTAAAGCATTTCTTCCTTAAACCCAAAATTTTAAATATGCTGAGAAATCAGCATATATGTTTACTTATTTGCCAGTAATTCGTTCTCAATTACGAATTATACTACAACAGATCAAGTTTGTGGAGTTCTGATGATTTTACAGAAATCCTGATGATCTGCCTGCTTTGTTTTACCAAAAATTGAATTTATGTTTCTTTATCTTTTTCGGTAAAGAGCAATACCTCAAATCAGTTTGTAGTTAAGATGTATGTCTTGCAACTTATACATACTACTAACCTTTGCAGTTTGTGAATTTCAGGCATTTGTTATTTCTGAATGCTTGGGTTGTGTTGCTGCTGATGCGACTTGCTTGTGCAGGACATAAATGTGTTTGGATACATGGCACCGTGCGTTGCCATAAGGATCCTTCAAGAAATTTGAATGTTGAAGTACGAGTTTACGACCGAGATGGGCTATCAGTTGCCAAGATTATTGATCCTGATGATTTAATGGGGTTAGTTGACGTGTTCTTGTTGCTTTTGGAACTGAGAATTGTCCTAGTTCAGTGCAATATCGGTGCGAATATATGTGCCAAGAATCACGTAATAAAGCATGCATTAGTAACGGGTCTTCATAAGTTTTTTGTTTGGTTTATTTTGCTTGGTCAACTAATCTTGCTGTACTTTCGCTACAACTTTGAAACTGCCGGTTGTGCTTTAACGAAAACACTTTAAACCATTTCAAAATTTGTACTTTGTTTCCTAATATTCGAGGGTTGGGAATGAAGGAGGAGATGATTATCCAGCACTTGCTTAGATAATATTAGGAACAGTCAAATTGTGTAATAGAGATAAGCAAATTTGTGTAGTATATCATGTAAGCAAGGTTCCACAGTGCTTCGTCGGCTTGTTTGCAGTTTTGGTTAGTGGAAATGAGGTGAAGTAAAGCAGTCTGCGCATTTCAATAGGGAGGATACGATGTTATTCATTATCAACACTCAAATTAAATGGGGATTGAACTGGTGGTGGTACAAATCGAGCTTTTTGAGGTCTCCTTTCATTTATCTGAATAACACATGTTGCTCTTGTATAGTTTTTCTGAATATTTACATTTTCATGTAAGTTGCCAATCAAATATTTCAATTTCTTTTATAGAAGAAGAATGTCTGTGTTGTCTTCAAATTTCATTTTACACTAACACACAGAATTGGGTCCTAAATCTTTCTGTCCTTTCCCTTTTCTTTCTCTCTATTCTTCTTTCTCCCTCACTTTCTTTCCTAGAAGCATACATGGAACTCGTGCACTTCATTTTTAAAATTTTTAAATTCTCACCCTTAAAAAGCCTAGTCGTTTATGTTAATCTTATTTCCATTAAGAAAAAAGTTAATAGATTAGTTTCTTTGTGAAGTTTCTCCACTGATTCTTGGTGGGTAATGTTTATTAGTTTTCACTTCCATTCCTTTACAAAAACAGATGTAACATCTTATCCCCGGAAATTGTATTAGCTATGATTCGTAAGCATATTGAGAGCATCCTTTCTCACTCTAGAATGTTTCTTTTTTTTAGATCGTTTGCATTCACTGTACCGTCTATCCTATGCTGCTGTTTTCGCAAATGACTGATTATTTTTTAAAATTCGTATGATGTATTTTTAGCCTTCGTCCAAATTGAAACTCATATCTTTTTGTTTTATACATTCTATAGGTAAGTCATGAACTCTAAACCGTCGATTATCTGTGTTATGTTGAATATCATTCATAGCGGAATTAGCATGAAAATTAGCAGAAATGCTGAAATGTCAGCTATTTCCAGTATGTTTTCTGCAGCTTCCATCTTTATGGAAGATCCTCTCAAATATGAAAATTACTTTAAAAGAGATGAAAATTGGGCCAAAAAACACCGTGAAAGATATGAGTGCGTGTGCTATATTTCTTATGTGTTGAAAAGAAAACCTGTTATACGGAATCAAATGAAACGATATGATTACTGATATCGTAATTCTGTGCGCTAGCTTAAATACACGTCTTATAAAGATATGAGACATCTTTTTTTGAAGAGAAAATTACCTAACATTTCTTTGAATTTGTGACTAATAATTGTTAAACTGTACTGCACTTTCGGTGTATAAGGATTCTAGCGCTTCCGATCTTTAAAAATGCTGCAGTGCCTTGCTACACTGTGTTTGCAATGTTCATCTTAACAAACGTACAAACGTTCAAGTAAAGTTTGTTCGGTGTGATTCATGATAAGAAAGCAATTTGAGTTGTGATGTAAAAAAAAATTTTTTTTTTTTGTGCCCTTTTCCAGTTTAATTTTATTTATTTAGAGTGACGTTCACAAGCGAAGACGGTTCGTTCCAGTTAGATGGATGTGGCGAAGACATTGATTGGGTTCCTGGTATTCCAAACAATCCGGAACCTTATTTACAAATATTGCATTATTGTAACAGACAGACGGGTGAAATCATAAAGCTCCCACCATTCAGAATTTTTGTGCCAAATACATATGAAGTTGGTACAGTTGATCTCGACTTACCGATTCAAGCTTCATCTGCAAAAAACAGTACTTAACTGATGATTATAGCTCTCGAGGTTTATATGTAACACTGTAGAATTTTCTATGTTCTGAAAATATTTTCAAATTTAACGACCAATGTAAATGATGTACTTAGCTTATCGTTTGCCATTTTTTTTTATCGACTTTTGAAAGGAAGACTGGTAAAGAATGTTTAGTCAGGATTTCAGACTATTATGTTGGATTAGTGAATTTGTCGAATCTGTCTTTAATACTCTTGCACATTTTATTCATTTTACTTTTTTTGTCTTCTTTTTCCTATAATCTATATTTCTTAATTTTATTTTACATGTATTCTTTCTCCATATATAATCTGGCGAACTGCAACTCGTATTTTACGTTCTTGCTTTAGAACTTTTTGTTTCTGACTTGAATAAAATTGCTTTCATCCCAACTTTCTATTCATAAGGAAAAAATTTTTACTTTTTTTGTCAGAATCCAATGAAATAGAATAAAATAAAAATTCATTTCTACTCTAGCAAGAACTTTTAGGCCTATTGGTGTTCTTTTCTGAAAACTTTACAAACTAGACGCAGTAAACATACTTATCTGTGTAACCTTTCACTCTTAGTCCAACAGGAATATTGAATGGTAAGGATACTTTCTTCTTTATCGCTTAGTTATGCTTCATTTCTCGCTGTGATCATCTTTGTACCTAATAATATTCCAGTTTCATTTTCAGCCAGTTTTATATTGCTGTTTTGCTTAATGTTGTAATGCTTTCTCTTATTACTTTTCTTCGTCAGCATGGAGTATTCTTTTTCTGCCTCATCATTTATAATTCATCGCGATGCACTCTCTGCAGGAATACCTTACGTTGAATAACGGCAAAAGTGATTTTATATTTTCATAAGGCATGTTCGCATAAATAAATATGTTAAGTTATGATGTTTGATGGAGGTGTTTACTATCACAAGATTCTTGCTGCACTGAACACGAACTTTGAGATCAAATGTGAACTGTTTGTACGTTGGTGGATTTCAACTTGCGCTACCTTTACATCAATCGTTTTCTTAGATTCTTTGAATTCGTTTCACTTTATTATACATAGGATACGGATTTTATTTTCACTAAAATACTGCGGAATATGGATGTGTTGGACTACATTTCAAAATCAATTTCTTGGGGAATTCCATTATTATTAATTTTCTAGTTTGAGTAGTCTTTATTCTAAATTATCTCATGATCATCGAATATATACATAATACTTCGGGGTTTGAAAACTGACAGGAAGTTTAATTCAAAACTGCATCTTTTTCACACTTATTGCGGATCCGAGATCGTGAGATTATGGGCAAAACCTCTGTCTCAGTTGAACGGTGAAATGGGCGGTAGTAAATTTATAGTTAGTACTGTGTTGTAAATACAAAAAAGTTGGCCAGTGTTGTTTTATGTGGTCTCTCATAAACTCTGTTATTCCATGAACTTTGTTCAGCAAGTGTTTTTATAGTTTTAATTACGAAGTTCCTTTTTTTTTTTTAATCCTAATTTTATGTCTGGTTGGACAGTTGTTCATTTGCGTAATGCACCTACAAAGGAAATCACTTTTAGCTTAAAAAATCTCGCAACTTACCAATAAACAAAGAGATACTCTCAGTCGAGATACCTTCTATACCATAGAAGGAAATTTATAGATATTAATATGATTCGTTTGAATAAGTGAGTCACATCTGTCAAGCATTTAATGGTGAATGTTGGATCGAGACTTGGGCAGACGCTGTTGAGTAGCTGTTGTTAAATGTGCCAGTTTATGAGCACACAGAATATTTTTTTCGTAGAATTCATTTGACAAAACTTTCGTGTTTTATTTTTTGATTAGGAGGAAGCAGTAGATAAAATTACTTCAATACTATGAGTAAGTAGATTTAACTTTCAGTTGTCAGTTTGTGTATCTTAATTACGTCGAAGTAAGCTACGGCAGCAAAAATATCGGGAGTGGTGCTGTAATCGGATATTAAAATTGTTATTGATGTGTTCTCTTATAAGGTCTTTGTGCAGCACATTATACAAAAATAGTTGACATCAAGGAATGAGAAATGATTTTGACTTTGTTTGTTTCTTTTAAAAAGGACTTTTATATCGATGTTAGTGGCTTGTTTTTCAGGTTAGCAGAAAGAAAAGAATGTTTGTATTGAGAGTAAACTAGTGTTTCAACAAGTATCATTTTGTTTGATAACAGGTTTGATATTTGGAGGTAACACTTTAAGCACTTCGCTCAACCTGTTATTTGGTATTCCTCACACACACGCAGTGAATATTTGTAGATTTGCTTGTTGTTTATTTACACTGATTTGGTTTTTTAGAATCAAATACATTCTCAGCAATTTCAACTACACCAGAATGCGCATTGGACCACATCTCGATCCGCAGGTTTGAGCTTGCTTGCATAACTTTCTTGCTGCACATAACTCGTTGTTGAAGATTCCTTGACTTTCCAACGTGTTGCTCTTACTATTATTGAAATATTACTCTCCTCTCTGAAACAGTCTGTGACTCATCATCCTAGATTAGTATTCCGTTGGTGTTTTTATTGTAAGATCATTTTGTACAACTTATGTTCTCATCTCACTATATCCGAACAATGCACTGGAGATCAGGAATTCTTTACATATGTGTTAATGGAACATATTTAGTTACTTATTTCATTTTAAATTGAAAAAGGACGACCACTTTTTTTTATGGATTGTTCTGACTTTTATTTTCTCATCTTCTGAACACACTGCCGATATGCTATTATTGCTGTGTCTAACTCATAGGTATCGTTTTTGCCCATAAAGCATGATTTAATTGAGGATCAGAATGTTCGTAATGATAAAGAGAGTTCTGCGAATTTTATGCAACTCTCAAATCATTGATAATTATTGATCGCACTGCTTGACCTTTTCCGAGATGGTGCACTTAAAAATGCAAACACGGTTGACGGTTTTTTTTTTTACTTACATCCCTGAAAATATGACGCTGCAAAATAAAACCTTCCGTCAGTTTGTTGATAGTAAGAATGTTTTTATAGAAGTTTTACTTTTTTTTTCCGAAACTACGCCTGGGTTTAACTCGGTTAATATGCTTTCTCATATCTATTTTATGGGTTTCCGATTTAAACCTCTTCTTTATCCATAATATATATGCTTCAGCTTTTATCGGAATTGTTTGAGGATTATGGAATTGGTACTACAAGCGTAACGTTCCAACAACATAAAGTAGGAAGAGAGGAACGTGCACGAGTTCTTGGACGTCATAGCGGTTTCCGAGGTTGTACTATATGGTTCACCGGATTGTCTGGAGCTGGCAAAACAACAGTTGCATTTGCAGTGGAGAAAATTTTGACACAGGTTCTTTAATTAATTTTGTGCTTCTTGTCGATCTTTTCAAGTTTAGGAAGTATCTTACACTATTTAATTGCTCTTTCAACTTGCATTGCAGCTTGGTATTCCTGCTTACGCTTTAGATGGTGACAATGTCCGACATGGTCTTTGTAAAAATCTTGGGTTTTCCAAAGAAGAAAGACGAGAAAATATCCGTCGTGTTGCTGAAGTAGCCAAATTATTCGCTGATATGGGCACTGTGGTTCTGGCATCATTCATTAGTCCATATAAATATGATCGAGATGATGCAAGATCTATTCATAATCAGGTTAACAATCATACTATTGCATTATTTGGGAAATTAGACATGTTTTATAGTTTTCACAAGGGTTTTCATTCCAGGATAATTTGACCTTCTTTGAAGTGTATGTGAATACACCACTAAGAATTTGTGAACTTCGCGATCCTAAAAGTAAGTTTTGTCTCGACTTAGTGCTCAAGAATTAAAGTTTTATACAACCTCTTATTTATTTTAGAGTTAAATCTATACAGAAATAAATATGAAAGAGCAGTTTATCATGCTGTAGATTTGTATAAGAAGGCACGTTGCGGAGAGCTGAAAGGATTCACAGGGATTGATAGTGTCTATGAAGCGCCAGAAAAACCAGATCTTATACTTGAATCGGGCATTGAATCTGAAGCCGAGTCTGTCAGGAAAGTACTGGATTTCTTATTCCAGAAGGTAATCACATGTCCGTACTTTAACTGAAATTTCTTGGTAACTTCATTTTTATCAATAAAATTTGCTTCACATATCTGTGCCAGAAATCTGCAATATGTTTTTATTTAAAAAAAAAAAAAAAACCACCTATTGCATTGTAGAATGTTTTGCCCGTAAAAGCTTATCAGCAAATTTCTCGGCCACCTATACGAGAGTTATACATTGGTGAGGAATCGAAAGACAAATTACTAGAGCGCATGAACTCTTTTCCAAGAGTGCAGTTGACGAAAATTGATCTAGAGTGGTTACAGGTTTCATTCTTCTTTTATTTTCAGGAGTATAGATTTTTCTATAACTTCTAATGTTTGCGTGAATATTTTAATATATTAGTCGATAACAGTTCTAATTTATATGTATCGTTGTTATGCTACGTGCTGTTTCGTATTTTTAGGTATTGGCTGAAGGCTGGGCATCTCCTTTGCCTGGTTTCATGCGTGAACGGCAGTACTTGCAATGTTTACACCATGGTCTCCTTTTGGATTTAAAAAAGAAATGCTTAACCACTGATGTGTCGCTTCCAGAAAACACTGAAGAAGATTCACTTTGGCCACTTAATGAACCACTGAATCAGTCGATAGTAATCGTATTACCGATTGGTGATGACACAAAAGTCAAGCTCATGGATGGTTGGCATTTTTATGCTTAGTTTGACCTATACTATATTTGGACTATTTTGTCGAGAACAGTGTCATATTAAAACTTCTTCATGATATGTGAAAATTTTCGAGGACATTCTGTCAGTCCCGAAATTGCTCTTGTGTATAACAATGACGTGGTTGCTGTTGTGAAAGATGGAGAAATATTTGAACATAGGAAAGAGGAACGAATTGCGCGTCAGTTTGGTATTATCGATCCTCGTCATCCTACAATAAAACAAATTTTGGAAAGTGGGAATTGGTTGCTTGGCGGTGATGTACAGGCAACTTTTTTTGATGCATCATTTAATTCCATCTGTTTGTAACTTTAACATTACAATAGTTCTTCATTTAAGTTCGCTGATAGTGCAGCTTTGAAGTAATTGTCATCCTCCTAGAAATTAATTTGTTTCCGAAACGGAAGTTTGTATTTCTGTATTCCTTCGTTCAGTAAATTTAGGTGCTGAAACGAATTCAGTACAATGATGGTTTGGATTGCTATAGGATGTCACCGTTAGAGCTTCGAAATGTTTTCGCGAAAGCCAATTGTGATGCGGTTTTTGCTTTCCAATTGCGAAATCCTATTCATAATGGCCATGCTCTTCTTATGCAAAATACAAGAGAACAGCTGCTGACAAAGTACAAAAATCCCATGTTGTTACTTCATCCATTAGGCGGTTGGACAAAAGTTTGTTCTTGTGTTTTTAGTATTTGTTATAACGCAGAGTTTTGATCTCTTTGAGAGGAATACAAATTTCTCAGCTTTCATTTTTTATCATAAAATTAAAAAGAATCTCTCATTCGATGTTTTGCGATTTCTATTTTTTAGGAAGACGATGTGCCGTTAGATGTACGCATGAGACAGTATGATGCAATTTTATCGGAAGGTGTTTTAGATCCACAATGGACCATTCTTGCTATTTTTCCTTCCCCAATGTTATATGCTGGACCGACTGAGGTAGTAATTTTTATTTTCCTTTTTTGATTGTACTGTATTTGTTTTTATAAATTGATTAATTTCAGGTACAATGGCATGCTAGGGCTCGATTAGCAGCAGGTGTTTCAACTTACATAGTAGGACGAGATCCTGCAGGCATACAACACCCCGAAACTGGCGACTACTTATATGATCCGACACATGGCTCGAAAGTTAGCTTTAATTATCGCGTTCAATTGCTAGTGGTTTATTCATTATTGATATGTTTTTAGGCAAGATATTTGAGGATCAGAAATATTTAATTCATTGATTAGTTTTCAAGGTATTATCTATGGCTCCCGGTTTGCCGAATTTGGACATAATACCATTTCGCGTAGCTGCGTACGATAAAACGAAAGGCAAAATGGCATTTTTTGATCCTTCACGAAGTGAAGACTTTAAGTTTATAAGTGGAACGAAAATGCGGTCATATGCTCGTGATGGTGTTGAACCACCAGAGGGTTTCATGGCTCCCAAAGCTTGGAAGGTAATCATAGTTTTTGATATGTTCTTGCTTTTCATATTATTGCGTTTTTTGTCCAGTTTAATTGTTGTTCGTTAATATTTCTAGATATTGCAGATTCTATCATCTTATTATCAGGAATTAACAACGAAGGAAATTGAAAGTGATCACTGACACTACTTGTTGATAATTGCAAACTTTTTGTTTAATAGGTTGTAATGTATAGTGTTTCTTATATGATCATTTATGTTGTCACATTACAGGATGTTGGAAAACATCTTTGACTAATTGCTTTATTACTTTAATACCATCCAGTTTGAAAAATGAGATGGTCGTACAAATGTGCTGTATTAATTAATATTGCAGAATATATATACTATCACTAGTATATTTGCATTGATAGACAAGAGGCCATTATGTGACTTCTGTTTTTTGAATGAGAATTGTGTGTGCAGGAAGAGAATTTTTTCAGGATTTTCTTATTTAGTGTGATAAAATAATTTCTTTACTGAACGTACTTACCAATCACGATCTGTAGAAGTAGGAGGAGGAGAAATAAAATGGAAAATCAAAAAAAAAACAGGAGTTATAGTTGGTACCATTTTGTTTCTCGGTAAAATTATCTCGTTGTCTTTATAATTAATAGTATATTGAGGCCAATGCTGTACGAATTTCCATCGTACTCGAGAATGGTTTTGGATTCAGTGTAGTGTACACTTAGAGTCACATCATAAAGTTACTGACGCGTTTTGAATTCTAATTGATTTGCTACAAAATGAGCTGCTCATATTCCAATAAGTACAGCTAATAATTCCAGGAATAGCAATACCTCTAATTGATGCGATTCGGGATTTAGCAAATATCAAGGACATTTTAATTTCTTAATTATCACGCGTGTATATGGCTGCAGAATAGGTCACGGTCGATGTATCTATGATGACATGGAGCTGCATTTGCTCTGAACAATGTCTCAAAAATTGTGGTAGTTGTTTTATGTCTGCTGGTCATTCATTCATCAGAGATTCCCATGTTTCTTTGTCTTCTTTAATTACAGAATGATTCCAAGCACTATTTTCTCCATAAATTTTGAATGTCTCACACCCGGAACGAGGAATCCTATTGGGTCGTACTGAGACGCTATGAATTGTAAAATTGTTCTAAGGTTTTAAGATGACCTGGATAACATCTATTTTGGGATTGTATTTGTATTTGACACTATTTACATTTGTTGTAGAAGATTTGATAATGTAATTTATTATTTTGGGATTGTTAATCACAGGGAGATTCGTTAGATGTAGATGTAAATATGTGGAGTATCAAAGAAATATAATAATTCCTTTATTAGTAGAAGCAATAACACAACAACTTTATAGAGAAGAATTGAAGTTGAACTCTCCTGGTTATTGGTAAAAACACACAATGCCCCTTCTCAACAAGGATGACCTCGTTATATAGCAAGCAATGTGCATAAACAAAGTATATGATTTACAATATGAGGTTGACCTGCCGAAAGAGTAATCGATCTAACAATGAGCTGTTGACCTGGTTTACAAGCAAATCTAATTGCTAGTTGACAAGCCGTAAAGGACAATAGTTAAGTAAAAGTTGTTAACCTCGTAGATTCAAGGATAATTTACAATTAGTGGCGACACAACAGTGAGATCAACTAAATGAGGAACTGATACCGTGTAAACAATAGATAAGAGATTTATCCGTTAAACGTAAGATTGGAAACAGAGTCCAAAGTATAAACGTTATTTTCAAAGATCTAATAGAACATATTTTTTACTCATAATTGTTATATAATATTTTAGAGTTTTGCGATATCTTTATCATAATCAAGAGATTTGTTGATGTATCCATTTTTAGCCATTATAAAACCGACTTTTGCGAGGGTTGCGAGAATCCTCATACCATACTGTGGATTTGATTCGGCGACATGAATTCAATAAGAAAGTCCCAATAAGAATATCGGGCTTTTTCGAATATCCTCCTTTCTACTGATATTGAGATATCATACATGGCAAATCGTGATGATTCGACTTAATTACTTGCTGTTTCTCTGTTAGGTAATCTAACACGTCATTTTCAACAGTTGTAATTCCGGATTCCTAGGTTGACTTCGAAACTTTGTTACCAATTTCAAGTTTTGATCTTTCCAAATAAAGGATGACTGTGAACCAATGTCAAATAGTGCTGAAGCTTTTCATTGAATTTCTGGGTGGTCTTCACTGATGCGTGATTGGTGCGGTCACTCTTTTATTTGATGTTGACTCTCCAACATCTTCCTTACATAATTGTTCATAGTCCTCGCTATATATTTCCAGAGTAATTATGGCTTCCTTTTTTTTAAATTTATCTTGTGAATCATCTACCATTGTCTTTCCTCATCTTGCGACTGGTGTGTTCTGCATGAGATCTGACCAGTTCTGAATAACTATTTCGAAAGTACCAGCATAACAAGACATCTGATAATTTTTTTGATTTGCAATTTGCAACGAAGGCTAGAGTTCGGACCGATCTTTATTTTATTGAGATAATGATTATCGTTAGTCGAAGTTATTGAATAACATTGGAAATTTTGAGCGAGTTGTAGAGGAGCAGCGAATGACAGGAAACAGCAGTCCAGAAAGGAAATAACTCCTTATAATAAACAATAACTCAACTCATAACAAGACGCGTGATTTACAGTGGTGGTTAACTAACAAAGTGTTGTTAACTTCGTCAATAATCAGATCTAAATAATGAGCTACAAGCTGCAAAGGAGATTCGAATTCGAATATAATTTACAGTTAGGAAGGAGCCGACAACTAACAAAAGAGGTCAACTAAATAAGCTGATAACTGCAAATAATCTAACTGGAGACAAATTTCAATGCATGTTTTTCATTAATGAACTTTAAAAGTGCATAGCTACTGAATATTGAATGAGACTGGAACATGAGATTGAAACATTTGTGAGGAATGTTGAAATAAAACGGATTTAATACAATTTTATTTCTACATATTATAATGCGATTTTTCCGATACTTATCATTAGCAATATTTCACTCCTGCTCAGTGAATTCATTTTATTAAAGAACAATGCAATATAATAGACATTCCCATACTTAGCGCTTTGCCGAAAAATTTTTGAGCGATCGTTATTGTATATTTTTAAACATTATTCAGCTATTTGACCATAAAAAGGGATTTTCACTACTTGTACTTCAATTCTTCTCCATCAGATTTACTGTACTATTGCTTCTGTTGATAAAGGAATTATTATACTGTTGTACTACCCACATATTAACATCTACATCCAACGAATCTCCCCGAAATCAGTAAACCTCTCCCAATATAATAATTTTTTAAATCATCCACGACAGTTGTGTGGTATGCAGTGCGATGTCAGATTGTGGAGTCAAATCATCATTGGTTATAAAAGTCATCATTTATGAACTATGGCTATAGATCAGAAGTTCTGGGGGTCGTTCAATTTGTATTGCAATATAAACTGCAGAATCAAGATGAAAAAATTTTTTAGCACTGTACTGATGTTTCAAAGTTTCTAGCGCGACATCACAGACTCATGAACTGATTTTTAAACAGTATTGAGAGAATTCAATCTGGAAAAACGCAATCAAAAGATATTTCTCCCTCACATTTATTAAAATTACTGTGGAAAAGTTCTTAATATGATCTGAAAAATGATTACTCCTGAATTTAGACTCCAACAATCGAGGTCAGAAAAAACTCAAGATTAAACATCGGAAATTACTTCTTTATTCCATTACCTCCAGTATGTATTTCTCAAACACAAATTGAAAGTGTGGAAGATACATAGCATTATAAACTACATTTCGTTCTCTTAATTACACTATTTTGGTTCCCTAGGCTTCCTCATAATAGTAACATCAGCTTCCTCTTTATCCGCATCTCAGAGAAAAAGAGCTAGCCACAATATTCAAAATTTGTCGAGTTTTATCACACCTATTTTTCTTTGAAACTATACCAGGGATCAAGCGATCCATTAGCCAAAAAAATTTTGAAACCTTATAGAGATAAATTGTAGGAGACATGCAGATTTAATGTATTAGAATCTATATCACTATCGGTTTTAAGATCGATCTGTTTTCTTTGTACTTGTAGATTTCTCAAGTCACTTGTTATTGTCTTGTATTCATCGCATCACAATTGGAGAGTTTTCAAGATATCGTAAGTGGAACATATTTGCACAGAAACTATTTTTATTTGGTTCATTGATACGTGTAGAAAGAATTGCGTCAATGAATTATTACGATCTGCTATATATCATCTAAGTGTACATATCGAAGAGACTACATTCGCAATGATCACGTCAATGAAGTAAGTGTTAGAAGAGTCCAGTTTCTACTGCACTATAAATATGAGTAAGTAAATGACTCACTATTTTTACCAAACTATTTGTAGCTAACACTACAATGACAGTTCCTGCAAAAACAATAGGCATTATAAGTAATAATTACTATTATTAACTACTAAATAACGCATGCAAAATTAATGAATTTAACTACTGATACAGCATTAAACGAGATACTGTGGTGTTAATGAACACTGAAATTAGAAAGTTATGCGTGATCCATAGCTGAATTCCCCCTATACCTCTTTTTCTAACTCCGTCCGTTCTGCCAGCTTTGCAAGATATTCCAGGTCGCTGACACGAACTAGTCCGTACCTTCACTACTGATGATATGGAAAAAGGACAAACGCATTCATTCACTCATGCAGTTTTCCTCAGTTTCCTACAAGCAGAACGGGAGAGTGCGAAGGAAGATGTTGCGTTAGAATTTATTCTGCAGTTACCAACCACCACTTATTTCCCCGATGTAAATGCATGAGGTTAAGAGTGTTTACAGATACACAAACAGACAAGTACATACACGCTATATTACCTTTACTGCATTTTGCAGTGTAATCAATGTGTAGCGCACATAGGAAGAAGTGTTTCATTTTGATGCTATCGAATTTCACAACCTTGTTATTACATGCTCTGCCGACGAGGTTTGCATGTAGTTCAGTACGTTTTGCCATGCTTCGATGTTTTCCTACTAATCAGTTAGTTAATTCCTTCGCTACAGTTATTTTTGACTGTTTCCATGAGCACTCGTCGCCATACGAAACGTCTGAGTGTTTTGCATTCCAAATTATTGGGGA